AAGTAAGATTGCGAACTTTCGAAATAGCGTACCAGATTTATCATACATCATTCGCCAGATCAAGCAAGGCGCATAGAAGAGAAAGGCGCAAATGACGAAAAAGAAAGGCGTCCATTGATAGTATGAGACCATGCGTTTTTCCCGGTCGCTTATATTTTCCGGAATTTCCTCGTCGAATGACACCCAGTAGGTGCTTCGAGCCCAACAGAACATCTCTAAATCTTGTGTTTTTTTTTTTCAAATAAAGATGAAATTTACAAAATAATTTTGAAAGTGGATTGCTTTGATTTTGACCTGTGTAATCTTCCCAGCCGCCTCGGTATTCTGCCGGAACCCAACATTCGATTGGTCTTCCACCAAACATTTTCAAGCTCATCAGCACCTGAGATTGTATAAGGAATAAGGCATAAGAAATCAATGTGGCCTTGAATTTACTCAAAAGCAATTACAGTTCTGCTAAAACATGCTAAACTCACAATGTTTTCTAGTATACACCTCATTATAACTCTCTTTGGACGGTATGGCTACTCGAAAATAGCCTGAGTGACAGCAAGTTACTACTAACAAGACTGATGATGATGCCTCTCTGTCTTTCGTTGTTTATATTTAATCCTTAAATTTTTGACAGTGGAAAAATCTGTAAAGCTTACAGCAGCAACAAGAAGAAGCGTGCTTGTGTAATAATAATGTAAGCGATCCACAAAATCGTCATCAGGCTGCGGCTTCAAAAATGACAAAGTACCAACAACTTCCGAGACCACCATTCTAAAACATCCCAACAACTGGTTTACTGCACAAAGTGAGCAGCATGCCGATTACTTGAGAAACAAATAAAACTTATTCTTTTTTAGCATAATAGCTCCTGAAATCTGAGAAGTTCTGGTGACGTGAAGGATATTAGCAAGACAGTATTTTCCAGATGAAAGAGCTGCGCTGGTCATATGGCAACAATGGGCGGCAACAGATGAAAGAAAATGATTTTTAAATGGTGCGATGTTAAAAAAAGTACAAGGAAGGCCACCAGTTTAGTGGAAGAATCCGCTCGAACGGCTCCATATAATTATGTTAATGAGGAAACACCAAAACACAGCAGGATAGAGAAGTTGCTAGTTGTACTAGTAAGAATTGAACAACTAAACA